GACCCCTGCACTAGTGGCACACAAAGGCACCAAACAGAAACATGTGCGTGGAGCTCAGCTGGCTCTGTGTTAACAACTTCACCTCCCGGGGTGAACTTTACTTAGAAAGGCGAAGCTCAACTGGATGCAGCAATTTCAAATTCCAGCGCGCTCTATAATTACATCAATGTGGTAATTATGTTTCAAATATAGATGTTTGCACACACACAGAGGTTTTGTGTGTGTGCAGCGTGGACAGTCTCAGGACTTCACCCCAAAGTGACGTTTGTTTTTCTTTGTTTTTCGCCGCTCGGCGCTCATGCTTTACTCGCCGTATACGTTTCACTGAGCTTTAAACGCCCAACTGCTTTCACTGATATGACACATTCTGAAAGACGTGGCGACGCACACCTTTTGAGGTCGGCCGTCTTGTTGCCCGGGGCACTGGCTGTTTCTAAGGTGGGAGGAGCACCAGCGTTTTTGTCGTCCTCCTCGCTGTCAGAGCCTCCGGAGGAGCTGCTGTCTGAGGCCACGAGTGGAGCCTTTCTCCCTTCTCCTGCTGGACCAGGGGAGCTACTAACATCTGCTGACAGACACGTGCAGAAAAATACTGTTATTACACTTCTCTTCATTTGCCAACTCCAATTAAGAACCGGTGTTTGTGAGTTGGACATGAGTTTAGGATCTGCCGACCGGAGCGGTGACGTGCGACTCACCGCTCTTCTCGTGGTTTTGTTTGGCTTGTTTATCGACATCACTGCTGGCCGTTTCCACAGGAGAGCTGCACCTGGGATCTGTCTTTGTACTGTGGGAACCAGGAAGAGAGCACTGAGCATGGCGTTCCTATGAAAACAGTCACCAGTGCGGTCTGTAAGAAGCGCTCAGCAATGTGACTGCTCACCCAGAGAAAGGCTGGAACTCAGTGAAGTTAGCCCAGCCGGTCTGCTGTGTCTCGGTCGCGCTCCCTGCTGAGCTCTCCCACCCGGGGGAGGTTTGGGATGCTGCGCTCTCTCCAGAATCCCTGAAATTTGCTGTCCAGCCAGGACCTGGAGATGACACCAAACACTTTTAAGACCTGAGAGGCTGTTTACAGGTCAGTGTGACACTTGGCTGCATTCCCATCTACCCGAATCTGACGTGTTCTGCTCAGAGTCTTCGTCCTCATCCGATTCAGATCCACGGTCCCGCTCCCGACCTCCGTTTTCCATGCTGCTCCTGGAGCTTCCCTCTGAGGTTTGAGAGACCCCGAACCTGGAAGAAAGGGAGAAGCTCATTAAGTTAAAGGCTTATGAAACAAATCCACGGCATGCAACAAAGTGCAGCGAGGATGAAACACGGCATCAGCTTGACCTTGTTCTGGATTTAGCTTGTGTTGCATAGTTGATCTCCTTATCGTCCCAGATGTCCTCCTCCTCCTCAGCATCATCAAACTGGCGTATCCTCTCTTTGCAGCAGGCTTCAAATGCAGCTGCGTTGGCCTGTGAACAATGAAAGGAGAGCTTTCAGTGGGACTGCGCTGCATGGGTTCAACATATTTATGGAGGAGCGTGTTGTGACTAATTAGCATTGATGCGGTGCCTTCACTGCACAGCAGAAACACGCAGATCACTCCCATCGTTGGACGAGTTTTAAAGAATCACTTACACTGTTATCATCAGCATCTAGATTGAAGTTTATTTCGGCGATTCTGTCAAACGTAGCGCTGAGGAGGGAGAACACACACAGAAGCAACAACACGTTACATAAAGCTTAGAAACTCAACTGTGTGTTTGGGACATTTCGATAAACTCTCCTCCTGTGACACCTGGAGGCCTAAACTATCTGAACAAAGACACCAAAGCTATCCTATGTCGCTGTAAGCCAGCAGTCACAAACATGCTGGCCGCTGCTGCATTATACAAATGTGAAGTTTCAAATGATGCCAGAAGAATCCCTGGAAACTACAAATCAGGATGAAAACTCTGAACTCCTTTCCTTAGAAGACTTACTTGATATTTTCATCATGTTCGCTAAACTCCTCGTCATTGAAGCCAAACTGATCCACGAAGCTGGCAGTCATCTGTTGGATCTGATAGTCTGAGAAAGCCTGTGAAGTTCAAGCACAACTGGTGAGCTCATACTTTTGTTCCTGGTGTCATCGTGAGCGGCAGCGTGTCAAGATTTGCTTCTCAGCGCGGCTGCGATACCTGTTGGAGCGACAGGTCGTTGGGGAAGGGGCTCTCCATGTCATCGTCCTCACTGGACGAGTGCATATTGTGAGTGCTTACCTGCAGGACAGAGTGCAGAACAAGCTCAGTGCAACAGCACATGTCACCGCAGCGTTAGAGTGTGAGGTGTGTCAGCGTATTGGTGTACATAGGTCATGTAGGTCAAGACACTTCAGAGTTGTTGCTGCTGATATTTTTTATTTATTCGATAAATCATCTCAAAGCCCAAATTTGCTGAAAAGGTTGGCTGCTTTGCTGTGGGCTGCATGCTCCTGTCCTGATTACCTGCTGCTGCAGGACGCAGAGCTGGACTTAACGTGGGGGAAGAAGAGGAAGAAGAGCAAATGAGACTTACAGCACTGTGCAAAAGTTTTAGGCAGGTGTGACAAAATGCTGCAAACAAAGAAAGTTTCAGAAATATAAATGACTGTTTATTGGCCCCTAATGTATTCTGCAGCAGGACAACCAGACCAGACAGCCAAAGTCATGCAGAACTATCCTCAGCATAAAGAACAAGTACTGAAGTGATGGTCCGGTCCCCACAGAGCCCTGATCAACATCGAGTGTGTCTGAGATTACATGAAGAGACAGAAGGATGTGAGGGAGATCTGTGCTTAGGTCTCTGAGATGTTTGGAACGAGCCACCAGCCGAGTCCCTTCAAAAACTGTGTGCACGTGTACGTAGCAGAAGGTGCTCACACCTAGGGATGGGTACCGGTATCCGGTGCCATGATGGCA